ACGGAACGAAGTTACGGAAAAATCAATTAACAAACGGAGACGTAACACTGTATATATATATCTGTGTCAGTGTAAATTACTTGTACCTGATGATGACAAAACTTTGTCGAAACGTTGTACATTTGCTGTTATGTTAAACTTAATATTAAAGTTTTTCTTCATTACCCATTCAAGCCGTCTCCAACCATATATATATATATATATATTGTTACGACAGTGGAAGTCACGTGACGCTGGTAACACGTCATGTGATTCTCGAAGGATCTTGACTTTTTCTGGCAACTCTAGTTTGTTCTAGGCGCCCTCTCTTTTTAGTATATAAGACCAGCAAATGATGGCACATAGATATAGAGACAGATAATTGAGTCAAACGAGCGGTAGTGACGGTAATATAAAGTGTGTGCTTTGTTCTCGAGATTATAAACGTATTGACTGTGGAAATTCTGTGTATTGCAAAGTTGTATCGAGAAAGAATAAACTAGTTTTAATAATGGCTGGAGACGGCTAGTTTTAATTAAGAAAGGACTTGTATGGCTGAAGTTCATCGGAAAGAATTTATACCGGAAATTAACAAACGACCAGAGACGTAACAAATTGGTGTCAGAAGTGGTATTGAAAAAAAGAAAAAGAAGATGGAAACGAGAAGTGGCAAATCAAACTACAGCTTAGCAGAGTTGATGGCAGCAATACAAGAACAGCAAAAGAAACAAGACGAACGAGAGAAAAAAACAAGAAGAGAGATTACAGTTGTTGGAGGAAAAAGAAAAGAAACAAGAAGAGAGATTATACCAGTTGTTGGAGGAAAAGGAAAAGAAACAAGAAGAACGAGAGAAGAAACAAGAAAAGAGACAACAGCAGTGGTAGCTCGAACAGGAAAATAAACAAGAAAGATTACAGCAGTTGTTGAATGAAAAAGAAAAGAAACAAGAAGAACGAGAGAAGAAACAAGAAAAGAGACAACAGCAGTGCAAGCTCGAACAGGAAAATAAACAAGAGCAGTTGTTGGAGGAAAAAGAAAAGAAACAAGAAGAGAGACCACAGCAGTGGTTGGAGGAGAAAGAAAATAAACTAGAAGAAACTCTCCAGCAGTTAAGAGAAAGCCAGCATGCACAAATAGAAAAGATGAGTAAATTTCAAAGTGAATTAAATGTATTAAAGGACGACTTATTGTCTTTTACACAAAGAGGATATATTAGCCATGGGCCTAATTAGCCCCAGACAACAGGAAGCCCTCACAGACCCCGCAGCTAAACCCTAAAGCATACATCTTCAGTCCTGCCAGAAGTCACATTCCAGACATCAGTGTCAGCAACAGGGGTGATCTAGTATGAAGGAATCCACAGGAATTTGATAGGAAGGCACCATGGGAAGCATACAGACACAATTTGAGCTACTGTCAGAAATGAATGGATGGACAGAGGAGCAGAAAGCAGTGTACATCACAATGAGCCTGGAGGGACAACCACTTGAAATACTTGGACAGTTGACAGCAGATGACAGGCACAACTATAGAGCATTAGTAGCTGCACTGAAACTCAGGTATGGAACTCAGAATCATTCCTAAGTCTACAGGGCTATGTTTAGGACAAGAGTCCATGCTAAAGGGGAGAGCCTGCAAGAGCTGGCAGAGGATTTGGAAAGTATGGCACACAAGGCCTACCCAGCAGCAGCACCCGATGTCCTCAAGCTGTTGCTGTTGATGCCTTGGACAGTCCACAGCTGAAGATACAAGTAAAGCAAGCACACCCTTCT